CCCCAAAACCCCAAAACCCCAAAACCCCAAAACCCCAAAACCCCAAAACCCCAAAACCCCAATAATAAATATTCAATTGAAATATAAATAGGAAATGAATACAGGCAGAGTAACATCGAAGGAGGTTTCTACCTCCTCGAATTATACTTCACTAGTAAATATCCACCTGGATGCTCCTCTGTGAAAAGAAGAGGTTAGCTCCTTCAGGAGGACGCAAGTGTTCCCCAATAAGAAAACATGGAGGTATAGAAATAATTTTTCCCAAACAAAGCGTGAGAACTTTCCCAAGTACAACTAATTTCTCTGATACGAGGAACAAGGATCTTCTTGATGACTCTGTGATCAATAAGCAGTCTTTTCTAGAGCGGTTGCAGAAGGAAAAGATTGTCCTTCCCTCTTTTGCAAGGCAAACATGCTCACCTTGAATTCCAAAGGTAAGTCCCTTATTGCTTTATTATCTCATTTCTGGGTTAGAAGGACATCTCAAACCAGCTGTACCATAAGATCAAGAACAGGGAGGGAGATATCAAAAATTTTATTGAGAAATAAATACAGGTCTCGTTCTCCCAAATCGTCTCCAAAACAATTCATGGATAAGGAAAAGTAACTGTTTTAATCATTTTGTAGGGCTAAGAAGACGTCCAAGATCTTACTGTTCAATAACGTTATTGACTGAGTCAAGTTCGATCCCAGTATTCCAATGAGAATCAACTCTGTCTTGTCTCCTAAAGGGAACAAGGATGCAAGGATATCGCTGGGTCTCGACTCAGGTAATATCATTGACTTCAGCCAAGACACGGTAAGTGAAGGCCACTTTGCTTTAGGCTATGGGAGTCTTATCCAACTTCTCAGGAAGATGAGAGTATTTAGATGAATATTGTCCCAAATTCTTCAATAGTCATGTATCTCTATTTCTTCTAATATTTTCTGAACTGTATCCTAGAACTAGTTCGGCTGCTCAGTACTATACAAATTTTGTGAAAATTCATATTCTCCCTCATAACTATTCCAGTTAAGAGATCTCTTCTGGCGATCAGGAGAGATCTGGTGTCCCTTATAGATATCTCTTAGTCAACAAAATTAGCTGATTTAGCGATGAATTTTTTTAATCTTCTAACCTCCAGTTTCATATAGGGAGTTGTTAACTTGAGCAACAAAAAGTAATCAGATTCATTAACTTTTAGGGAAATAATTAAGAAACATATTCATCTACAGAAGCCCCTCAGGCTTGCATCAGATACCAGAGCTAGGCATGAGTAAGTGTCTATGGCTAAATATAGTAGAAAATCTGACAAAAAGGTATGCGTCTTTCATGATTGGTTATGCTTGACAGATTCCTTCTTAAAAATCTGATTTGTCCATAAATTGATGAAAATTACAGAATAGAGTCGAAACCATTAAGCCAGGAGCTCTTTGTTAAGCTTACTTATTCATAGAGATGTTTTAGTGAAGCTCGATTCCTGTGTGGCATAATTCATCTGAACCTAGGGATTCAAAATAAAAATTTGAAATGAAAATGAAAGCAATTTCGATGATTTTATGCTTGCTAAAGCCACTTTTTAGATGAAAATATATTTTTCCAAATCATGGTGTATCTTCAGGAGAAATACCTGATCTTCGGGAATCATTTCAAAGCCTAAAAGTCCTTGTTTTTTCAAAATTCAAAAGGATAATGACTTAATCCATCTTATAGGTCTAGCCCCTCATGGAAGTAGGCACTTAATAGAACGAGGAAATCCCAGTTTTAAGGTGAAAAAGATCAGCTTGCCAAAGGCATTTCAAGAAAAATTAGCTAAAAAGTTCAAGCAGCCAGACCAGAGCTTTAAATCCCGTAGGCACTCCAATGAGGTCCCTGTACGCTCTCCCTCATCCTTACAGAAGTATTTTAAGCCAACTGTGATTGACAGAGTAAAGATTGTGACCAAAGTTCGGAAGAAGAACAGCTCTATTGCTGGCAAGAATACTCATCAAGAGTGGGTGGACATGACTCCATGGAACTTACCTGAAGAGACCAGTTTCATGAATCAATTCCAATGCTACCTTAGCCAAAAGGGGTTTTGGGGTTTTGGGGTTTTGGGG